GTGGGTGTGGTGGGGGTAAGGAGGGGGATAGTGGATGAGGGGTGTGTGGGGTGTGGGTGAAGAGGTGTGTGGGGTGGAGTGGATATGTGTGGGGGTGTGGATGAGGGGTGTGTGGTGTGATGAGGTGTGGTGTGGGGAAGAGGGGTGTGGGTGTGGTGGATGAGGGTGTGGGGTGTGGTGGGGAAGAGGGGTGTGTGGGGTGTGAGTGGATAAGGAGGTGTGGGGTATGGTGGATAAGACAGGTTGGGTATGGTGGGGTATGATAAGACAGTGTGTGGGTATGGTGGATAAGACAGTGTGGGTATGGTGGATAAGACAGTGTGTGGGTATGGTGTGGATAAGACAGGTGTGTGGGTATTGTGGATAAGAAGTGTGTGGGTATGGTGTGGATAAGACAGTGTGTGGGAAGTGGTGGATAAGCATGGTGTGGGTAAGGAGGATATGTGGGGTATGGTGGATAAGACAGTGTGTGGGTATGGTGGATAAGACAGTGTGTGGGTATGGTGGATAAGATGTGTGGGTGTGTGATAAGACAGTGAGTGATAAGACAGTGTGTGGTATGGGTGTGGATAAGACAGTGTGTGGTATGGTGGATAAGACAGTGTGTGGGTATGGTGTGGATAAGACAGTGTGTGGGTATGGTGTGGGTATGGTGGATAAGACAGTGTGTGTGGGTATGTGGGTATGGTGTGGATAAGACAGTGTGGGGTATGGTGTGGATAAGACAGTGTGTGTGGGTATGGTGTGGATAAGCATGTGTGTGGTATGGTGTGATAAGACAGTGTGGGTATGGTGTGGATAAGACAGTGTGTGGGTGGTGGATAAGACAGTGTGTGGGTATGGTGTATAAGATATGTGGGTATGGATAAGACAGGTGGGTATGGTGGATAAGACAGTGTGGGTATGGTGATAAGACAGTGTGGGTATGGTGTGGATAAGACAGTGTGTGGGTATGGTGTATAAGACAGTGTGTGGGTATGGTGTGATAAGACAGTGTAGTGTGGGTAGGTGGTGGATAAGACAGTGTGTGGGTGTATACAGTGTGTGGGTATGGTGTGGATAAGACAGTGTGTGGGTATGGTGTGGGTATGGTGTGGATGTATGGGTTGTTTGATATTTCAGATACGAGAAAAAATGCTGGCAACTTAATGTGACGTCAGGGTTAATATTATTGTGATCATCAGTTGTCAACATTGGATCATTTAATTTCATTGTAGTAAAAAATTTCCAATTATTGTCACGTGGTCGACCAAAACAATAATATTTACCATGACGTCATATCAGGGCTACCAGCATGATTTTGTTTACACTCGCCCCCGATATAAAGAACACATATTACCAAAGCAGTTTAGTGGTTTATTATCGTTTAAATTATAATATTTTGTGATTATTACTTAGATGATTATTGAAAGAAATACGATAGATGATTAATAAAATATTTTCGAGTTTATTGGTGATATTAAACAAGTTTTTATCTATTTAACTATATTGGATCAACAAAAGCAAGAGAGAGTTAAGGGTGATATGCCACACCCCCCCTCGGCGTGACATAATGACCCCCACTTGAGAACTGTTCCCCGTTCCAGTCTTCTTTGACAGACAACGATTTAACGGTTCACCTTAACAACCATTATCCTTCTTTTGAAATGTCGTCTAGAAGGTAAGAAACATATTTTCACCAGCGGACATCTTTAACCAGGAGGGTTAAAGGTCTCGCTACGTGACGTTAGTACCCCCCAACGTGACTTTTGGACCCCCTACCGTGACGTAATGACCCCCCGCCGCTGTTCTCGGCTTAACATAGTATCCAGAGCCGGTGTCGCACCCTTCACCCGTGTCTGTGATGGTGACCTTTAAGGTAACTCGGGCAGAAGGGTTGGTAATACTGTAATGGTTGATAAAGTAGAGAATTATCGTGGAAAATAGGCTGTAAAATAGGCTGTAAAATAGACCGTTAATGGAATGTTTTACCAATTTTGTCTCTATCCTCTTTCCCTCCCTTCCTCTCTCACTTCCATCTCCCCCTTCCCTCCATTCTTCCTTCCTCCCCTCTTCCCTACTTCATCCTCCTACTTCTCTCACCCACCACTCTCCTCCTCCTCCCTCAACCCATCCTTACCTCCTCCTCCCCCTCCTCCTCCTCCTCCTCCTCCTCCTCTTCCTCCACCCTTCCAACTTCTGCTCCTTTTCCTCCTCTTCCTCAACTTACATAACCACCCTATCATCCTTCTCCCTCACCCACCTACCCTCCCTCACCCCCCCCCCTCTGCTCACCACAGTGTCAACAAACATACTGACTCAGCAGACAGCAGACAATTAACATAGTGTTTATCAAAGTGTGTAGAGTAGTTCATGGTGATCATGAGAGAGGGTCTTAGTGCAGTGAGATTGTTTGACTTGGCATCTCAATGAGCTTTGGACATGGGTTAGGGGTATGGGTAGGTGGATAAGGTTGCGGGTATGGGTGAGTGGATATGAGTGAGGGTATGGGTAGGTGGATGGGGTTGCAGGTATGGATGAGTGGATATGAGTGGTGGTGGGTAGTGGATAAGGTTGCAGGTATGGTGAGGTGGATATGTGGGGTATGGGTAGGTGGAGGTAGGATGATGTGAGGGTATGGGGTATGGTGAGATAAGGTTGCGGGTATGGATGAGTGGATATGAGTGAGGGTATGGATAACCTGGCATGGGAAGGCGAAGATCTCTCTCTCTCTCTCTCTCTCTCTTGTAAAGTGCAAATTAGTTTGAGACAGAGAAACATATAGAGAAGATTGAGAGAGAGAGATAGAGAGAGAAAGAGAGAGAGAGAGGTGGTAGAGGTGGGTATACTAAGGTGTTCAATAACTCTCCTTGGCTATTTTTAACAGTATATCTGATACGTGTGGCGATGGGTCTAGTCCTGGTACTTCTCTCTCTCTCTCTCTCTCTCTCTCTCTCTCTCTCTCTACTATACAAAACCTAACCTAACCAAAAAAAAATCTCCTTAACATCTAATGAGATAAAATCACACCTGTAATTTATACTTCCCAATTAAAACACAAAAGCAATTAGTGTACAACATGACTCTTATACCTATTTAAATTACCTGGACCGAGAGATATAATTAGGCAATGTTAATTACTTACCTATTAACGTTATTGTTTTATTAGTTTTGTTTAATAAGAATTTGGGGTTGGTGGGTTGGGTGGTCGGGGGGTTGGGTTGGGTGGTCGGGTCGGGGGTGGGTGGGGGGTTTGGGTGGGTCGGGGTCTGGTGGGTTGGGTTTGGGTGAGGTGGGTTAGAAGTTTCTGGAGGTTAAAGCCAGCACTAACCATCACAAAAGTACTGAGGCATAAAGTAAAAAAAAGAAAAAAAAAGATATAATTAATTACCTAAATGTCCCCTGTTACCTGTCGTAAGATTTTATCCCGACAAAAGACCTAATTTAGAGGATAAAAAAAAATCTGGGACTTGATTGACATGGATGTAGTGATGATGTTTGACTTTTGTTTTTGTTGTTTGTTTTTGTGTAACTGTGATGGTGTTTGTTTTCTAGAGAGAGAGAGAGAGAGAGAGAGAGAGAGAGAGAGAGAGGATGAAGTAAGGCAGTAAAGTTGGGGAGGAAGGAAAGGGAGGATAAAGAAAGGGTGAGAGGGAGAAGGAGACGGTTGTGTGGGAAAGAGAGAGAGGGAGAGAGAGGGTGGGAGGGGGAGGGGGTTGGGAGAGAGGGAAGGTGGGAGAGGAAGGGAGAAGAGAGAGTCAAGGTACACATCTCAAGACGCTGCTGGCCAGAGATTTAATTTTGAATCTCGGCGTTGTAACTGCCAGCGTGACCTTGTGTGGTGTGTGGTGTGTATCCGTCCGTCCGTGTGTATGTATGTGTGTTTGGGTATCCGTGCGATTGTCTGTGTCCATATGTGTACTTGTGTTTGTTTTTATGTGTGTGTATCTGTATTTGTGTATGTATTTATGTACGTGTAGAAAATACAATTAAAAAAAAACACCACGTCTTGTCAATTGTAATTTAGTAAAAACGTCTCTATGTGATTTTCAAACATAGACTCATAGATATAGTATTTTGAATGAATACATTAGCGCATAATTTATCATTTATGGTAATAATCATGTACGCTAAGAGCTTATTAGTTATTGTTGATCATTATACAGTCATATATAGACCCGTATTTCATTTTACATTACGTTTTGGTCATTCAGTTGATAAAACTCAAGTGTACAGAAGATAAAGTGAATTAAGTTAAAATATGGTGTTTATGTTTACACTGAGGACGTCATCACCCAGTGCTGCCCCCTGTCGGCGGCGGCGGGCGGCTGAATACATCTTTATAAGGGCAATAGATGGCGCTGATGCAGCTTCCACATGGACCTGCATATATTTATGTAAAGTTAATGTATTTCCTCGGGTATAGAAGAAAAATATACCCTAACAAATAGTTTTAATTTTACGCTTACTCAAAATATACCTAAATAGCAGTTGTTAGTAACGAGACATCATATATGACTACGACGCTGGACATGATGTGACGCTAAGGTCTCCTCAGCGTTACGTTGTACCATACCGAAAGATGTAAAAGTCCGTCGTTAAGTACATATCATCTTGCTAATATGTGAGGTGCAACACTTCAATCCATTACAAGGAGAGTAACACCTTCCACCGCAGCTCCTCCCTTTACATCCATCCAAGTTACTGGGGCGGAGCTATTGAGCATCACTCTCTATCCTCATTGGCTACCCGCGAGCATCCACGAGCTGATTGGTCGTTATGTTATAGGATTCCTAATTCGCCGTAAACAAGGTTAGGCAACAGCTTTGTATATTAATTAATTATAATTTCCCTCACTAACAATGTTGTTCCTTCGACGTCAGAATACTTAATATTTATCAAGCAGATGTGTTCACAGTGGGTGGATATCGCTGTCTCTCGCGTCTGAAATGTCAAAGAAAACGATCGTCTTGGGCGTCATGTTGGTACTACTGCAGCCGAGGTATCAAGAAGGGGTGATCGTCACTCTGACGCTTTAGAGTTGGTTGAGCGGCCGAGAGGTGAGGATGTAGGAGGCTTGAGGAGGCGCTAAGGATTACTTGTGTGCTTGGGCCACCCCGTCTGTGTGCAATCCCCGTGAAGTAATTGACAGAAGGAGACTGGTTATTACTCGAATATTACATGACCTCCAGGTGCTTTTATATATGTGATTTATAATATATATAGAGTGTTGGTGGTTGTGTGAACAGAACAGATTTGGTCAATTAAATTAATTAACTCCGATGCGGGAATTGTGTGTGGAAGAGATCGCCATGAGCACAAGAGTGGCACTGCCGATGTTTTTGGGCTGCAGAATGTCGGAGCTACGACGCCAGCTCCTCCCCAGCCCGACACCTAACCAGGATCGCACAGCTCAGGTCCGCAAGAACTTGTTTGGTCCGATAGATCACGACGAGAACCTCAAGTTTGTACATGACGAGTTGAACAAGATCTCTGAGGAGGACAGCAAGCGCTGGAACTTTGACTTTCAGAGTGAGAAACCAAAAGAAGGTCGATTCAGTTGGCAGCGCGTGGGTGACGGCGTCCCACAGGCGTACGAAATGCCCAGGTTAACCTATCTCACCACACACGCCACTAACACCACCACTATAGCGGCGCCAACACCGCTCCATAAAGTACCTGAAGGTGTTTGTGGTTCTAGTTCTTCAGCGTCGACCTCTGGTGCGTCACTAGACCACCAGCAACCCTCCACCTCCACCGCCCAGACCACCACCACCACCACCACACCCTCTACCACCGCAACCACCACCACAACCACAGTCCCGGACACAACCACCACCACCACAACCACCACACCTAGTAAAACTACCACAGCGAAGACGAGGCTTCCTCCACCTCCCACCACGACGATACCAGCCTCTAGTGCTAGTTGTAGTGAAGCTCCAGCCACCATTAGGGAGGTGGTAGTAGTGAAAAAGTGTACTAGTAGTAGTGGTGGTGATGGTGGTGGTGGTGAGGAAGTGAGAGAAAACAACACCAACACACCCAAAGTCAGATTTACTAGATCGAAGGGCGGTCAACCTCCTGTCACAGGTGAGAATTGCTAATTAATTTTGTTTACAATATTTACGATCCATCAGTAAAGGTATTAGTATCATAACTGTGATTATATTAGTACATATTGTGATATAAAATAGAGGTACAGTAATTACCAGGTGGTGACTCATAAAGTTAACTATTAAGAGAAATTTTTTGAAATGTTTACTGTGATTTTAACTCAACAGGTAAATAATGTTATCTTTGTTTGTTGTGGTTTGTGTTGATCTATTTCCAGGTTACATAAATAGGTTCTCAGAGATAAAGGTGACCACAGGTGTTAATGACAGGAGGGGTGATGCTAACCTCAATTAACCTGTGATATTTTTCATTTTACCATTTTAACACTAAATCAGTTTTCTCTTTCTTTTAAAACCATAAGTTAGAGATGACCGGATATCCGGCTCTTACTGTATCCGGTATCCGGTCGCATAATTAACTCTGAAAAAGGTCAATGAAACCTTTTGAATCGAGACTATGGATTAAATATTATGATGACTGTGACCCAGCTTAGTAAAACCCAAAGTATGCTAACTAGGTGAAAGCTTAAGTACCCAGCTTATACATTACCAGAAACTTCTTTCCCGTACACACACAAAAAAATATACCACAGCATAATAGAAGAATTGTTATTGTAAAAGAAAACTTGAAATTTGGAATAGAGGTCAAAATTTAGGTTGGTTGGTTGTTCAATGTAACTGTGTGTGTGTGTGTGTGTGTGTGTGTGTGTGTGTGTGTGTGTGTGTGTGACCTTGGCGACTATCTAACAAACCAAATGACTTTCCTGTGTTGACTTAGCTGCCCAGAATTTCCAACGCGTGTACTCTACTATCAATCTCAAGATGGATTTTTACCAGTATTTCGTCAACGTTTTTTTATATCTTGTACAATTAATGGGATTCCCACTGAGTTACGTTCTCGGAATTTCTTGATGGTTAGTGAGGGAGGAGTCGGTAGGGGGGGGGGTGTATTTTAATCGCATCCTAATAAGGTCAAGTAATGTTTTGAAAAGATTAAATCGCATTTCATCATTCAAGGTTGGGTGTTCAGTATTGTTATGGTTTGGGGTTATGTAAGGTTATGGGTGGGGTTGTGGTGACTTGTGACCTGCCAAGCAACTGGATGGAAGGAGAGTTAGGAGAGTATCGTAGAGAAGTTGCGTCGTGGTGGCTGTGTGTGTGTCGTGGGGGGGAGGAGGAGGAGGGGGGGGTAGACTGGGCGCGGCACTGTCGGCGTCTCGACCTGACTACTATCACCATTTTTCTCGCCGTCGGGGTGGAGGGGAGGGGGGAGGGGGAGTATTCACGAGTGTACACCATAAACTAGTCATCTACAGGTGTATTTTGATGTACACTTGTGATGAACTATGGTTTGAAATGGCGTACATATGCGTAAATGACCGTTTTAGTTACTGGCAGATACGCGTAGTGTGTGTGTGTGTGTTGAGAGGGAAGGTGCGCTACATTTGTAATATTTAGTATAATGTTTGTCCTGCCAAATGGACTTTAATATGAGGAAAACAGTGTAGGGGGGTAGGTGGGGCCGTGTGGTGAGGTGGTGGTACTTGAACGTCGAGGCTGTGTGCGTAAATGTATTTCCTAGTATACAACTTGACAATCCGGAGTGCATCTGTAACCATCCCAGTGACGTCACCTGTTGATGGTCACATGACTCGGAACTGACCAATGGGCGCACGTGTTGCAGGCGGAACTGACCAATAAACATACGAGTTGATGGCAGTCCCTGCAACACGCGTCAATTGCACCAGCTGCACTCAGTCTCGGTTGCGGGTACGGCCGTGTGTTGATGCAGTTGACTGAGCGACCTGTTGGCAACACCATATTGTGTAAGGCAGTGTGTTGGTGCACACAAGCAGGTAAACACACCTGCAACACCACTAATTAGCACGATATCATGTTTATTGTACCTTTACTCATCATAAATCACCGAGATAAAGACGACTGGAGATACGATAAGTGTTGCCAGTTGTGGGTAGTAAGAGAACGAAATTAATAGCACAGACAGACGATGCCAAGAAGGTGTGACAACTTGGACACACTGACCACTTCTCAGTTTAGTTGAAATGCATACACACACATCCCGACACACGTGGATTATTAGCATTACACCGAGAGACACTTCACACACACTACTCAGGGAGGGGGTGAGGATAGGTTAGGGTGACTAATCTTCAGGTGAAATAAACTGGAGGGGGTAACTAATCTGTATGTGATTCTAGTATTTATTATTCAATGCCCCCAATTAAACTAGATGTATAGGTCTATCCTCCCCCCTCCAACCCTCTTATTACCCTAGTCAATAAGGTCCCACAGTAGGGGAGGTGGGGAAGTTACCCTAGACTACCCCACAGTCTAGGGAAATTCGGCCTTTACCCGTCTCCCTCCCCCCATAAAAGGCGCTGGTGACTGGGGAGGGTTTAAAATCCATAATAGGTAGCGTGGGGACCTATTGAGCTATGGCATCGATTTCCGTCCCTAGAGAGAGAGAGAGAGAGAGAGAGAGAGAGACGCATTAATATCCAGTAGAGAAAATGAGAAAGATGCTTGAATATATAAGATAGTCACTGATGCTGGGAGATACACACACACACACACACACACACACACACACACACACGCACATACACACACACACGCACATATAAACCTTGAATTAAAAGGATAACAATGGTGGAAGCCGTTGAGTCGCTCTCCCTTTCAAAATTAAATCACCAAACTGGAGTGAGGGAGGAGAGAGAGAGAGACCCGCCTCAATTGGCTTTCCCCATCTCTCTCTCTCTCTCTCTCTCTCTCTCTGGTAGCATCACTTTAACGGGATATAGACCTACAGTATTCCTCTGGTGGATGGATGGATGGATGGATTGATCTAACCTGAGTGGAATACCTAATTATCATCTACCTAACAATTTTTTTTCGTAATTTATTATTTTTTCATTATAACCCAATTTATCAGACTTATTTTTTTAGCATTTTTTTCATAACTAAATTATTTTGTTGTCCTCCAATAGGCATATGATCTTGTGTGTATGAGTGGTGATTAGACCCCCATGGTTAGTAACTGGTTGAGCCAATAGGTGACAAGCTAACCCCCTCTCTCCTCTCATCCCTCCATGCCCTAACGAACACAGTAGATGGACACCGTTTTAGGGCAGCGGACTACAGTTGGTCACCACACACACACACACACACACACACACACACACACACACACACACACACGCCAAAAAAATGTAATGACCTTCACAGTGAATCACCTCCATTGACTGTAGATGTTGCAGAAATCTCAACTTGAATAGGAGGTGTTGATGTGATGCTGCCCTCAACTTGCTACCGTGAGGGTTTTAAATTTATTACTATTGAGTTTTGATTTATTCTTAGGTTATGTATCGTTAACGTATGTGTGTATGTTAGTGTTTGTGAATTTCAGTATTTGTTTGTAAGTCTCGTTGGTGTGGTTTGTTTAGTGGGTCGAGGGTTTTGGTGCGCATGCGTGAAGGAGTGCGTTACCCAACTCCCCTCCTCCTACCAGTTCTTGATGTTAGTGCCTTCCATGAGTTTGTTGTAGCGTAAAGTAGTGTATAATGTCCCTTCTAACCTCCACATGATTGAGAAATTAAGGAAGAACGAGCGTGGGTTGATCACGTTGCAACACACAGCTTGTTGCAGCGAACGGGTTGGAACCTGTGAGCAGCTTGGCCAACATTAACACACATTTTCGCGGGCGTCATCACCCAAGTACTTTACCCCCGATATAAGACGAAGAATTATGAGTGTGTTTATCGTAGACACATTTCTTTATTAGTACGAGATGTAGAAAGGCGAAACTCCCTTGAGAAATGATTTTAGTGAGAACTAGTAGGGTTTTAGTGAAATTTAAATCCAGCCAACTTTATACTACTACTGTACGTTTACACTCGACTCCAACCGCTTCGTTGTGACCTAACTAATATGAACAATTATTTATTCATATCCCTCTTCAGACTTAATGACTCTCGTCTCTATATCAGAAAATAACTCCGTTTCTGTGTTTTATTATCCGGGGTAACATAACGCCGTGGTGTATGGAGGTACAACGAGTGTAAATATTATACTGATGGCTTCCCGACTTTCTGACACAGAGCTGAGTTGTAAGTCACTGGACGAGTGTTGCCAGAGAGTAAATCTTATTTATACCTCTACGTATATTGGTTATATTAATGTTGTAAGAATAACTACTCGTAGGTGAGGTATATATGGTATATTAAGACTGACGAAGTTATATATACCTTGAATTTATATTTTTGTGGGGTTTTTTTTTTTCAGCGGTTGTGGTACGATGGGGCAAAGTCAGCTAGTGGTGTTTGTGGTGCATAGTGGCGCATGGTGTGATTGAGGCTCAGGTGTGAATGAACTCTATGCGTAGGCCACCGAGGGCGGCATATCCCGTGCCTGTCAGTAGCCCGCCTTGGGAGCTTATGATGGAAAGGACAATTGCCAGAGGTTGATGGATGTCGATTCAATTCTTAACAAACCCATATTTAGACGGCTTGTGTCTTCACTGCCTTTGGTTATATCCCCTCCAGTACCCGATTTTAACCCGAAATTTAACCCCACCTCGATTTTTAACCCGTGTTGTAGATGGGGGAGGGGAGGGGAGGGGGGGTTGTAGTGTATGGTACAGGTTGAAATTTGGTTGAGGTGGATTAGGTTTGGACACTAGGTGGAGGGGTTGTGTTTGGTTAGGTTTGGACACTAGGTGGAGGAGGGTGTGTGTTTGGTTAGGTTTGGACACTAGGTGGAGGGGGTGTGTTTGGTTAGGCTTGGACACTAGGTGAGGGGGGTGTGTGTTTGGTTAGGCTTGGACACTAGGTGGAGGGGGTGTGTGCTTGGTTAGGCTTGGACACTAGGTGGAGGGGGTGTGTTTGGTTAGGTTTGGACACCAGGTGGAGGAGGGTGTGTGTTTGGTTAGGTTTGACACTAGGTGGGAGGAGGTGTGTT